TTTGTAGTGCTTACCAAACCATGCCTGCTGATCACCCTGGACCTCTATGGCCAAACCAAAGTCAGCAAGCTTAACTGCCGCCCCCTTCATCTTACTGGCCAACAGCAAATTCTCAGGCTTTATGAATAGCATACAGACACACAAGCATATCACTAAATGGTCCTAATTGTCCCTTAGGTAATGGTTTTTCTAAAAGCAGCTATTTATTGAATTAAATACTTTTTTAACAGCAGCCATGACTCATTCCTCCTCAGCAGGTCGAACGATATTTTGGACAAAGAACAAAACAGCTAAATCTGTCAAAGTCCGAATTGTATCGCACAAATGTGAATTGATTATCACTAGCTAAAAGGTTTTGAAAGGATAAAATATTAGATTCACAAGACACAGCAAGGCTATTTTCTGTCAGACTGTGCTATATTTGGCACTGGACTGTGCCACTGTCTGGAGAAGCTTAAGTGTGTGTGAAAGTGTGTGTGTCCTGACCTTCAGATCCCTGTGGACGATCCCATTAACATGGCAGTGATGAACGCTCTCCAAAATCTGCTGAATGCAGTGACTAAGAGAGAGAGAGTGACAGAGAAAGGTAAGACAGAGGGTAAGAGTGACAAAGACAGGTGGAAGGAACACAAGTATAAAACAATCAAGCGACATAATCAGTAAAAAGAGACAACTTAGAGGAAAATAGGGACTTAAAATGCAGTTGTGAATTGTACATAGAATTATACATTCATGAATGTATGCGGTCATTAATCATCTACAAATAACATGCTGTGCATTTTCTTGTCCAGCCCCGATTAGACACACATGCACATTTTCCTTTACACATGCAAAATTACACTCGAGGAGGCAAGGCTGTAAAGAGAAGCAGTGTATAATTTATTATCGGTATAAATAACTCGCACACAGAGAAACAGGCTCACAAAAGAGTCATGTGACCTAAAAGAACTGTCTGTAAGCATATTTTATGTAGAACAAACTCGACGTTACTGAATGTTGTAATACGCTACTGTTGTAATAGGTCTGTCTGAATGTTCTTACCTGGCATCAGCCTCACTGTAGTACTCTCTTGCTACAATGTCTTCAAACAGCTCACCTCCAGTAACCCTGTGGTCAAAGGTCAATATTTAAAGTAAATGAATTTCAAAGCCATTCAAAAAAGCTTTTATATATATATTTTTTTTTTAGGTTTTCATGCAATGCTATGTGCTTCCATAAAAGCAATGTCCTTTCAAAATATGTTTAAAAGCCAGATTCACCAATCAGAGAAGTCACTGTTACTACAGAAGTGAAGTCGCTGTACTTTAAACAAAAGATGCCTGACAAGGTTATTAAAACAATGCTTTAAAATTTATTTTTAAGTAAAACTTAACAATGACTAAAGGTAGGCGATATATACTAAAAAGAAGATATTTTGATTAAATTTGAAGTGCTCTTTTTAAAGGTAGACTTAAATGTGTTAAGAAACGTATGATACTAGCACATTTAAATAGCCTATTATTTAATTAATATTATATGATCTGCAAGTACAATCTTTTAAAACATATACCTTTAAGATTTAAAGTACATTACAAGTGCACAAATTAAATGCATCTCTTTTTCACAAGGAATTGCCTGGTCTTTGTACTCTACAAAATGCATTTATATTAGACGGACCTACTGTACCTGCAAAATACAGTTTTTAGTTTGATTTGAGCTAGAGAAGCAATATCGAATGCCATATTTATCATCATTTGTATTTAAAAATGAAAGCTAAACAGTTTTGGCTGAGTGGACACATTTACTGATTCAGACTAGCCAGACTGATTCAGTTACGTCTTTCACAATGCTTAATTTGGTGTGTAGTTCATACTTGTTTTCCTCAAAAATTTGTGAATGTTGTGTTATATTTTGTGTAATATTTGCTGTTTGGTTGATAGCTTCTGAAAGCAAGTCCAATGTTAAAGTGAGCTGTATTGTTGAGTTCTATTCAAAACCAAAACTAAAAATTAACACTCTATGTTTATTCATACAAAATCTGACAGTATTCAAAAATAGCAGTGCAAGCAGTTGTCATACTGTGTGAGTCTGGGTCACAAACAGTTGAATATTACTGAATATGACAGCTTGTGTCTCTCTTCTTGTTTTTCACCGCTTGTATGTCCTTGTGTTCTCCTCTCTGATTGTCTGCCTTTCTCCCATCAGCCGCATCAGCTACTAGCAGAACTACATCATAAGCCATTTATGACAGAAGACATTTCTTGATGTCATGCAGACAGGAGTCAGCACAATCCACTGGTCTGCTCTCTTTCAAAGCCTATATTCACACAGTCAGTGTTTCGGATTTTAACTGTATTCACAAACAGGCTTGACTTTTGAATTGTCCTGTTCATTCAATAATATATTAATTATACTACCGGTCAAAAGTTTGTAATATTTATGATTTTTTATGTTTCTGAAAAAAGTCTCTTATGCTCACCAAGGCTGCATTTATTTGATCAAAATTTGGCACTCAAGAGACATGTCCTATTATTATCAATGTTGAAACAGTTTTTGCTCCTTAATATTTTTGATACACTATCATTGAAAAGTTTGGGATACATACTTTTTATATGCTTTTATTCAGCATAGGACACATTAAACTGAAAAAAAGTGACAGCAAGGACATTTATAAAGTTTCAAAATATTTCTATTTTGAAATATTTCTTTTTCAAACAGTTCTATTTGTGTTGTTCATTGAACTTTCAATTCATCAAAGAATCCTGAAAAAAAAATGTATCACTGTTTCCACAAAAATATTAAGCAGCAAATACTGTTTTCAGCATTGATAATAACAAGAATCATTATTAATAATTGATCCCCAATAATAATTGATAATAATTGAGCACCAAATCCTAAATGTTAAAATACAATTTTTAGTTACTTAATTTAAATTTTAAAATCGATTAAAATAGAAAACAGTTTTTTAAAATTGTAATAATGCTCTATACTATTGGTGTTTTTACCATATTTTTTGAAATAAATGAGCGTAAAATACTTAGCAAAAACATTTAAAAATATATAACTATTTTAGAACTTTTGACAGGTAGGGTATATCATATGTTATAAGAAAACTGTTTGTGAACGTAACTATTTAATGCTGTAAAACAGGACTGACAACTGTATGCAGTAGCATAAAATATATTATATTTTATAAGTCAGTTCTATATGCAATGCTGAACGCGAGCTCACTGGCTCAGAGGTTTGCCGAAGGCTGCCCTCTGGGCACTGTCCTGCTATCACATAAATATCAGTAGCACTTTGTAAATGGGGCAGTCTACTCTGAGGAAGCAAAGAGGGAAAAGAAAGCCTAATAAGAAGTGTGGAGAAAAAGAGGAGATAAAGTTAATATATATATACTTACAGATCAAAAACTAGGTAATGGAAACCCTCCTCCGATATACTGTCGTGGAGTCGAACTACAAAGAGAATTTTTCTGTAATTTCCTCATCTTTAGTTACCATTAGGCAATACACATTTCTGGTAAAGTGTCTTTGGAAATCTGAGTCCATTACCAATATTCGGGTGTTTCAAGAGACGGCAAATCCTTGCCTCTCTCTCCAGCTTCTGGTGATCTGAAACAGATTCCAAAAAAACTATTTTATTGAGACTGAATATACTGGACATGTTTTAACCGATAATGTACTGCAGGCAGATCTGTTCATAATACAGTGCATTTTCATGTCTAGTGTTTCTGTTAGAGACTGCAGATCTTTTAAACACCACCAGAGGACAGTGGTTTGATGCCTGTGAGTGTGTATGCGGGGCAGATGGCACCCTGACCTGCAGAAAACTATAAATAACCACATGCGCTCCTCTCTCTCTTCTGTACTAATCCGATATAAAAAAACATACTAAACTTAACTCGCAATCAGAAAAAAACACAATTCTCTAAAGAATCATGTGACACGATTCAGGATTCAAAATACTTTGAAGCATCTGATGTCAGTCACAATCATTCAATAAGCCGGGGGAAAGGGGGAAAAACAAATTAAGAAAGCAAATTTTGTTTAAGAAAAACACCGTACTGCATAGTGTGCAGTACTGCCTAACGAAAAAAAAAAGAAACAGTCTGCAATATGTAAACACTTCGATATGTTACGTTGTTGTCACATGACCTCATTATGCTGAATTCTAAATTCATGCTAAATTTATCTGACAAGGGTTTTTTTTTTTTGTAAAAATTTCTGATTACATAATAATGAGTTAAAGGGATAGTTCACCTAAAAATGAAATTTCTGTCATCTACTCACTGTCACACTTTAGCCTAATGTGAGGAACGAGGAGAACAGGAGTACACAAACAACAATAGTCTTTTAATTCAGAATATCCAGGAACTAACACTTGGCAGCTTGGAACACAGGAAACACAGGGGTTGACGTTCAATCTCAGACCAAGACAGACAGCACAGACTGGGGCTAATAAACACTGGGCAATTAGGGGAACACAGGTGCATGGAATGACTAATTAACTGAGACACGGCACACCTGGGGAGGGAAAACACAACACAATGAGTCTAGGGGCGTGACATTACTCCCCCCTCCTGGAAGGTGCGTCCTCGCACCGTAGAAACAACATGGGGAGGAGAGTGGGTGGGAACTAGGGAGGAGGCTCAGGAGGAGGACGGACACCCGGGAGGGGGCCGGCAGACAGATTCCAGGGAGGAGACGACGGAGAGAGGAGACAGGGAGGAGACAGGAGGGACCCGGAGCAGGAAGAGCACAGCAGGACCCAGGCCACAGCCATAACAGCGGCCCACGGTGGAGCTGATGGAGGGAGGAGCCATGAAGGAGGAATGGCCACCGACTCCAGGGGGCCGACCAATGGCGGCGGAGCAGGTGGTGGAGGAGCCCGAAGCGGAGACTGAGAGCCAACGAGCCAGGGGGATGACGAGGATCCGGGGGGCCAGGGTGGAGCCGAAGGCTCTGGC